TTGTGATGTCACCTCTACCATAAATTAATCAAGTTATTAGTGTCTTTTCCTGTCTTCTTTTGTTAAGTTTGCTAATGGTTTGTCAGTATTATTGACCCTTTTGAAAAACCAGCTCCTCATTTTGTTGAGGGTTTCAATGATTTTTCTGTTTTCTATCACGTTGACTTCAGCTCTTATTCTTATAATTTTCTTTCTTCTAATGGCTGTGGGGTTAGATTGTTATTTTTCTATTTGATGAAGGTGTTGAATTTTATCATTAATTTTGCTTGTTTCTTCAATTTTCATGTGTGTGCCTATTGCTGTGAACCGGCCCCTGAAGACTGCCTTAGATGCATCCCAAAAGTCTTGTTATGTTGTATTTTCTTTTTCAATTTTTTTTTTTTTAATTTTATGCTGGTTTACTTAGAAAGTTCATAAAGTTGGTATACATTGTTTTTCACACCAGATCTTTTCCCTTTCCTTGACCCATCCCTCCTGCCATCCGTCTAATTGTGCGACCCTATAGTTAAGGCCTCCACCCCCTTGGATCCTTGTACTTGTTCTATAATAATGGTCTGTTACAGTATTTATCTTTACGACTCTGAGTTAGTTCACTTAGCATAATACTCTCTAGTCCCTCCCACGTTCAGTGGTAATTTACAAAATCATTGCTCCTGCGTGCTGCACTGTATCCCACTGTGTGAATATACCATAACATCTCAATCCATTTCATGTGGTTGGGAATTTGGGCTGTTTCCATGTTCTTGCTCTGGTGAATAATGTTGCTATTAACATTGGCGTACAAGTATCTGTTTATGCCTCATTTTTGCAAGGTATATTCCATATGCCAAGCAGTGGAATATCTTGGTCATATGGAATGTCTATGTTCTGCTTTTTGAGGAAACATCAAACTGCCTTCCAGAGTGGTTGTGCCATTTTACAAACCCACCAACAATGTAACAGATGAGGGGGAAAAACTGCTTAAAAGGAATATATGATTAGATATTAACTGTGTGACAACAGTCTCGAATAAGAGCTGCATAGTAAACTGGACTGGGGAAGGGATTGTACAACAATGAATTTTTTTCAAAGAGAAAAATGAACTGGGTGGAGGGTGGGCAGGGAGGAAAATGTGCAACAATTAATGAATGGAAATACAACCCTTCAATAAACTTTCATTTAAATCTCAATTTTAAAAAGGGGGGGGGGAAAGAGTTCCTATCTCACCACATCCTCTCCAACATTTATTACTTGCTGCACTGCGAAACTTTGCCACTGCTGCTGGGGTAAGATGGTATCTCCTTGTGGATATCCTCCTATGTGATTTATAGCCCAAAAATATGTGGAGGGTCAGTTGTGAGGGGTTTTAGACTCCACCATATAAACACAACAAGGATAAGCAGTGAGGCTTGCAGGAAGTAAAAAGACCTACCATCATCTTGAAACTCTAGTGACCAAACATTTCCTATTGTTTGAAATTTAAAAATTTTGAGACCTTGAAATTCATCCATCCTGTGGTTAGATTGGATGGGGCTGCAAGCCAGAGACCTTTCTGATAATTTTTACATTTGACCCTGAGAGCTCAGGATCTCTGAGCTGGGGAAGGTGTAGTAGACATCTACCACCTTTCCTAATCTCTGTTAAGGAACTTATTAGCCTTAAATTGCTATCCAAGGAGTGTGTGTTAAGTCTGGACAAAGGGACCAAAGGGAAGAATGAAGAATTCAGGATTCAAATGCTGATGGCCTTGCTCGTCACTGATAAGAAGAGCGAACTGCCTTGGCTGCCTGGCTGGGCTAGCAAGCAAACCACCTAAATCAAAGTGGAATGTACCTCCTCTCCTTTCCTAAAGACTCTGTTATAAAAGCCCTCCCCAAAAAGTTCAAGATGTGACTTCCCCATTGTGCATCTCCAGAATGAGGGACCTCACCCGGGAGCTCCCCTATTCCCCCCTTATTATAAAGCTGCATTAAGCTTTCTCTCGTTCTTTCTGATCCCTTCCTTAAACCTGTTAACTCAACATATGGTGCCGAAAGCCAGGAGATGAGTTTAGGTATTGTGCCCCCATCTTAAGGCAAGTGCCGGTGCACCTTACTCTCTCCTGAACCAGCCCTTGCAGCGTTGAGATGCTTGAATGGTAATATAGAGTCCCACTGCTCTCCTTCTCCCTTGTTCTGTGTGTGCAGCTGCTGACCGATCTCTGCCCTTGATCTCTGTATTCTCCCTCCCCTTTTCCTACAGGCTCCTAAAGCTAGACCCAATTAACTTCCAGGCATTTTATGCCTCCATTACAAGGCTCCATTCCAGGCTTTCCAAGCCTTCCGGACATTCTGAACTCCCATGGGAATCCTGCCAGATTCGTTCCATTGAACTTCTGCTTATCCACGTCAAAAGTTCAACCAGAAATGCCAGGCATTTCCCCCAGGCTAAGATTATGCCAAGGACGCTCGTGCTCTCTATAGCCTCTCTCTGCTCCTGAGAGCTCCTGAGACACAGTATCCAGAGGATGCTCTGAAACTGCGGTTGCCTCACCCACAGACCTGAGCACCATGGGTAGTCAATGTCTACACTCTCAAGGGACAGTCTTCTAAACTACCTTCTCTCGAATCTCTCACACTGAAGTCTAGCTAAAGACCTCTGCCTCAAAAAACTGATCTTTTTTTCTGTAACCAAGCAGCCACAATACCAGCTAAGTAAAGATTCTCCGTAGCCTAAGAATAGAACCTTTAGTTCCGCATCTTGACAATTTCTGCCAGTGGACTTAAAGAAACTTTCTTTTGTTTCATTCCTGTATCACTCTCTCTTTCCCAGCCTTCCCTTCCCACTCCCCAGCAACTCTTTGGGAGCCCAATGTGAATCCAGCCCAAATGGAATCGGAATCCCTTTCTGATCAATCTAGACTCAGCCATTCCTATCCCACCATGCTAAACCTCTTTGTTCTCCAGTTGCCCAGCCCTCTTCTAGTCCAAACAATCCAGACTCAGGCATTCTTACTCCACTCCTCCAAGGAGTCCCTCCTATGTCCTCTTTGACAGTTACAAACATTAAAAGTCCCATTCACATTAATAAAACTACAGCTTTCCATGCCTCTGTCAAAAACTGCTATGAACTTACTCACCTTTGACCCCACAGAGCACTCCTTACGGCTTCTGTTTTCCTAACTCAGTCATATACAAATGTCACCTCACCACAGAAAGCCCTTTCCAATTGCCACTCAGACCCAGCCCCTCCCACTTTCCTCTCCTCTATCCCCAGCCCATTCAGAAGAAAGTTTTCTGCAACTAAAATGCCACTCTCTTCCTTTTCCAACCCTGACCTACAAAAAAAACATCACCTGCCTCCTCTAATCACATCAGCAGCCCCAAACAAAAACACAAAGGTAAATTCACTAAAGCCTCTCTATTCCTCCTTCCCTGTTTACATGTCAGCTCAAGCAAGCCCCTCCTCTATTCCCACTCACAAAAAGCTCCCAGAGCAAAGGAAAATAAAAAAATGAACAGCGAGTTCTCACCACCACCCAGCAGCATACAGAAAAAGGTGGAAACTGCCTCCAAATACCCATTCGATTCTAATGCCCGAGAGGAACAGAGGAAAAACAAAAATTTAATCACAAACACCCATTCCGAACACGAAGCGAATCTGCAAATGTAACTGCTTTGCAGCAGCAGTGACAAGTGGAAAAACACCTGCTCCTTACCTCTGGGTACTTGCTCACCCTCCAAGCCAGAGCCTGATAACACAGCCTTGTCCTATCTGTGGGACACCGGGCCATTGGAGGACAGCCTCCTCTTCAGTATCAAGCCCCTGTAGAGAAGCCCCTTCACTGGACCCAGTTCCCACCCTTGCTGAGCTCTTAGGCAATGGCCACTGAACACTGAAGATTCAACATTGGCTTGAACATTTGAACATTGAACACTGAGGTTTAAAGACCCTCATCACTCCTGCTGAGCTCCCAAGGTAACCTTTCAGATACCAGGTAAGCCAGTTTCCTTTCTAGCTGACACAAGAGGTACCTGTTCAGTACTCCCTTCCTTCTCATGTTCTGTTTTCCCCACCCAGGTCCCTCCAAGCCTATTACCACTCAACCTCTCCTTATTAACCTCAACAAACAAATATGCATCCATTCTTTTCTAATTATCCCCACATGTCCAACTCTGCTGCTAAGTTGGGACCTTATGTCTAAACTTAAAACTGTGTTTTCACAGAAAGTTAAATGAACCTAGTTCACCAGACCAGCCTTTAGTTCTCTCTCTCTCAACACTCTTTCCCTCCAAGTCCCCTCCTACACTACCTTTATCACCAGGTGTTGTCAACCCTGTGATATAAGATCTTTCCACCTCATCTGTAACTTCTCACTACCAACCTGTTTTCATTTCTCTGAAAAACTCCTCCCCTTTTCCTGCTAGACCCCAATTCCTTGTCTCTGCACAACACTGAAAAAAATCTAAAACCCCTTATTACTCGCCTACTTACCATAAGCTTCTCATCTCCTAGTGTTCTTCTGCAATATGTTGATAACCTCTTATTGTACAGTACCTCCTACAAACTTTCACAAACTCACACTGCTCAACTTCTTAACTTCTTGACCTCCAAGGTATACAGGGTATCCCCTTCGAAGGCCCAACTGTCTCTCCTCATAGTCAATATCATCTTGGCTTTCAATTGACTGCACACCACTAAAAGGTTAATAGCCAATCAGTGCAGAGCTACTGAAAGCCTCCAAACACCTCAGACTGCTGATAAAATCCTCTCTTTGCTCAACTTTTTCAGCTTCCTTAGACACTGAATTCCTAACTTTTCCTTACTAGCAAAACCCCTTCATAATGCAGCACAAGCCACCCCACAAAGCCCCTAAATTCACCTCATATAGTTAAAAGAGACTTTCTCAAGCTCTAATACTTCCGTCTACAGTCCCCACCCCTTACTTTACCAAATTCCTCTAAAACTTTCCACCTATTCACTGATAAAAAACTAAAGTATTGATAAAAAACTAGTGTTTTAGCTCAGCCCCTTAAACTCACCTTTACCTCCTTTGCAGACCTATCGAAACAGCTTGGTGTCACGACCTTGCTTACAAGCTCTAGCAGCTGCAGCTCTCCTCACTAAAAAGCACTAAAACTTACCTTGAGAAGCTCCCTGCAGGCCTTCTCATGCCATAAGCTTCCAAATCTGCTTTCACATAGTTTTCTATTCTTACTTCCTCCTAAGCAGATACAGGAACTCTACCTACTTTTCCTCAAAAATCCTCATATTTGCCTCTCTCCATCATCGTCCTTTAATCCAGCCATCCTACTAAATCTTTACTTCTATCTGACCAACCCATCCCAAATCCAGACCATACTCTGTTTGTATAACTTCTGAAAGTTACCATCAGGCAGCCTATACTGTAGTATCCACAAACAAAGTGTAAAAAGTAGCAAAACTTCCCAAAAGCACGAACTCACAAAAAGCCAAGCTTATTGCCCTAACGAGAAACCTGACTGTTAACATTTACACAGATTCTAAACATGCCGTTTTAGTCACTCACTGCTACACTGTTACAAAAAAAAGAAAAAGCGAAGCTTTATAACAACAAAAAGTTTACATATAGTTAATGGCAAAGTGATCATTCTCCTGTTAAAAACTCTTCAACTGCCCAAACAGGTCGCTATAATCCTCTGCAAGGGACACAAGTCAGATTCCTCCCTTATCACCAAGGGAAACAACAAAGCAGACCATATAGCAAAATCTTTAGCCTTGCAACAGGCCTCCCTATTCTGTTTTTCAACATTCCAGATCTCCATCCAAAATACACTATGGAAGAAAAACAGTCTCTCCTCCAGAATAAAAACTGCCTAATCCCCAGTAAATAAATCATGGTAAATGGCAAAGCAGTTTTGCCTCAAGGACAAGAAGCAAATATTGTAACACAAGTGCATCAGTCCCTACATATAAAAGCCAAAGCTCTTTTTAAAATTCCTCCAAATTCTATTTCATTCCCCTTACTTAACTCTAGACTGTTAAATCCATACAGGACAGATGCCTTATTTGTAAACTAGTAAACACTCAAGAAAATATCCGGCCCACCACCCCACATATCAACTCCAAGGCCACATGCCTAGACAGGATTGGCAAGTTGATTTCACATATATGCCAACCCACAAGAAATATAGGTATCTCCTAAGTATAGTAGATACTTTCTCCAGATGGGCTGAAGCCTTCCCCACCAGGTGAGAGACAGCAAATAAAGTCTCTGAGGCCCTACTCCAGCATATCACCCCCAAGTTTAACCTCCGTACTTCTACAATCAGGCAATGGTCCTAGCTTGGTCTCCAGAGTCACCCAGCAGGAATCCTCTAGTTAGTTTAAGTAGCTGCTGGAAGTTGTACATACCATATCACCCCCAGTCTTCAGTCAAAGTAGAGCGCACAAATGGTCTTATTAAAATCTCATCTTACTAAACTGTCGAGTTTTGCAGGTCTTAGGTTAACTTACTTCCTATTGCCTTAGCCTGTATCCAAGCAACACTCTGCTCACCATCCTTTCTAAGCTCCTTCGAACTAATGTATGCACAATCGTTTCTGTTAATCATAACTTACCCACCAAACCCCTTCTTTTAACATCATATCACTCTCTCCTTTAACAATTACTCTAAAAACACGCAGACCGTTACATACCCAGACCCTCATATAAAAGTCTAGACCAAGCCACTGAAGTCACTTTAGGAGATGCCATTCTCATCAGGAAACGTGCAACCAAGCCTCTCCAACCATGCGAAGACAAACCTTATACAGTCATCCTGACCACCTCCACAGCTGGTAAGGTCATAGCTAACCCCCACTGGCACCACCTTTCTCAAGTCAATCATACTCCCCCCACTGAGCGAATTTCCTACACTTCTTAAATGGTAAATCCTACTATTCACTTCACTAATCACTTCACTCAGCACCCAAACCCTAGAGAAACTTACACAGAGCAAGTCTACTCCAACTACACACCTCATTAGCTCAACACATTGTTTTCAACAAAAATACCAAGCAGCAATCACCATTTCAATATCACCTAAGGCAGTTTCATCCTACAGAAGACCCTTTATTTACTTTCTATATGACCAAGGTTACATAGGGTTATGGCGTCAGTATTGGTGGAAGAGCTATTAACAATCTGCGTTATGCAGATGACACAACCCTGCTTGCCGAAACTGAGGAGGACCTCATGCACTTGCTGCAGAGGGTCAAAGACTGCAGCCTTCAGTATGGACTGAGGCTCAATGTCAAGAAGACAAAGATTCTCACCACTGGACCAATCGGTAGCATCAGGATGGAGGGCGAAGAGACTGAGATTGTTCACAGCTTCAGTTTGCTTGGTCCCATGGTCAACACTCTTGGCACCAGCAGCCAGGAAATAAAAAAACATATTGCGATGGGAAAGTCTGCTGTTAGGGACCTCTCTAAAGTACTCAAGAGCAACAGTGTCTCTCTGAAGACTAAGGTGTGCCTGATACAGGCCATGGTCTTTGCAATCACTTGTTATGCATCAGAGAGTTGGACAATGACCAAGGAGGATAGAAGGAGAATTGATGCCTTTGAGCTGTGGTGCTGGAGAAGAGTATTGAATGTACCATGGACTGCCAAGAAAACAAACAGATTCACCCTGGAGAGGGTTAAACCAGACTACTTCTTGGAGTCAAGGATTCTGAGGCTTCGTCTGACATACTTTGGACATGTTGTAAGGAGAGACAGGTCCTTGGAGAAGGACATCATGCTTGGTAGGGTGGAGGGACAGCGCAGGAGGGGAAGACCCTCTATGAGGTGGATTGATTCAGTGACTAGGGTAATCGGGACGGGTGTGTCAGAGGCAATGCGATTGGCACAGGATACAGCAGGGTTTAGGGCTGTTGTACATAGGGTCGCTATGAGTGGCAAACTACTCGATGGCACCTAACAACAACCACAACATATGACCAAGTGCACTCATACTGTCAAAAGTAACCAGAAAAATATACAAGTTGTCCATATTAGTCATACAAAATCCATAACGTGTATAATACCAAAGTTTCTATTAAACAAAAAAAGTCTACCTTTGTGCCTTAAGCCCCTAAACTATCAAATGACAGGCTAAAATTAGATAAAAACTATATCCTACTAGATATAGTCCCCTGCCCTCTAGCACAATACGCATAAGCAGAGAATACATTCTACATGCCAACACCCAAATACAGGTCTCCAATGACATTCTCCAAACTAAGCAGACAATTTATAAAACTAATCTCTAAAAAGCCACAAATTATGCAGCCTCCAGCCTGAGTCCAAATTATCCAAAACATCTTACTATTCCTTGACCAAAGTTAGATAGTAATCAACATTTCCCATTGTTTCCTATGTGCCTCTTTACAACAACCTTTGCTAGCAGCAGTACCAATCAATTTCTCTAAACCACACTCCCCCCAAACACCTCAAGCCATTCTGTCAGCCCAAACTGAGTGCTCCACCATTCTAGAACACATTCCTTTTTAAGAACCAGAGCTTGATGAGCAAACTAAACCCTCTTCATCTGGCATCCTCTGCAATGAAACATAAGAGCTGTATACACAATGTTAGCATAAACAAGCACACTGCAGCTGAACCTGTATAACACTTTTAGTGTAATAAGACTCTATACAGAATTCCACCACACAAACAGAAAGCCCTGTTTTTCTGTAACAGTCATAGCTCATCTCACCTTATATAGTAAATCTGAATTAACTTCTCTCTGCTCTCCAAAGTAAAAGAGAGGCATTTCTCCCAATTGGGGTTAAATTCAGTCTAGCTTCCCTCCAACATTAGCTAACATCGTTGGCACAGATCTCTCTCAAAAGTTAAAAAACTCTAAATCTCCTGACTGCAAAAAAGAGGAGCACCTGCTTATTCCTAAAAGAAAAGTGTTTTTACCATATAAATAAATCCGAACTAGTAAAACCACAAGACTTCTCCAAAATTAGCTAAAAAATAAATTTCTAGCCTAAATTCTTCCTTCTCTAAAACCAATAGTAATCATAAGCATTTTGTTATTAATCATTCCATGTCTCTTTAAGTTCTTACTTCAAAGGATCAAGGAGATGACCAACTTAATTCTCCTGGCCACTAATCCCAGAGCAGCTCATTCCAGCCTCTGAACCACCAGATCTTCACCCCTATTCAGAAGGAAGTAGCCAGAGTAAAAATCCATTTCCCTGTTTTATCACTAAAAAGGCTGGGATGTTAAGTCTGGACAATGGGGCCAAGAGGAAGAATGAATTCATAATTCAAATGCTGACATGGATGGCCTTGTCTGCCTCCGATAAGAAGAGCAAACAGCCTTGGCTGCCTGGCTGAGCTAACAGGCAAACCACCTAAATCAAAGTGGAAGGTATCTCCGCTCCTTCTCTAAAGACTCTGTTATTATAAAAACCCTCCCCAATAAGTTCAAGCTGTGACTTCTCCATTCTGCATCTCCAGAATGAGGGGCCTCACGCAGGAGCTCCTCTATTCCCCCCTTCTAATAAAACTGCATTAAGTTTTCTCTCGTTCTTTCTGATTCCTTCCTTTAAGTCTGCTATCTTAACAGTGTACAGCCCTGTTTTATCTGTCACCACCAGGGTGCTCCTTTGGACTCTCCAAGGCCAGCTAGTTGGTGTGGCTTCTGTAGTGGGTGTCCATTCTCTAAAGATGTCTAACTTGAAACTGTGGCTTTACCCATAGCAGTGTGGCCCTGGGGATGGTTCAATGGAGCCTCACAAGAGCCCTAAGTAGAAAGATGAAACTAGTTTTTGCTTCTGTGCTGGATAGTGGTCCAGGTTTGAACACAGCCACTGACCAGGCTTCACCCCTCTAGGACACACCCTTGCCTTTGGCAGACACAGGACATAGTGTCCATGTAGGAAGGCGGTGGCAATATCTTTTCTGGGAGCTCAAAGTGGGTGCTGGCAGAGGAGATTTTTTTTTTAGAGATTTTTTTATAGAGAGAAGGTCTGTGCATCCCCCGACGATGCCCTAGTTTGGGAGAAGCAGAATCTCTTTCCCATTCACTAGCTTTACCTGCATGTTGTTATTTTGAATTGGAACCAACCCATAGCTAATCTCCTGATAAGTTTTCAAAGGCAGTACATCTAAGTGGAGGAGATTGCTCATCCTTCTCCCTATAAAATTCACCAGA